CTTCGTCCGGTGGGGGAGCGGCATGGTTCGCTCCGCTCTGGCTTTATGCTGCCCCTCGGGCTGTTGGGGGGGTGTTTGCGCCGGCTGCGGTCTGCTCTTCTTGCGGTTTTGCGCCGGGCGGCTTTTCTGCTCTTGGGTTGATTCTGTGCGCGGTGTGTTGCGTTGTGCGCTGTTGGCGTCAGTCTTGGTGGGGTGGGCCTGCGCTTTTGGCCAGGGGGGCGTTTTGGGGGGGTCCCGCGGCGCTCGCGGCCGGTTCGCGGCGGATGCGCATGGGCCCCCGCCACAGGCGTGGCCGCCTGTGTGTTTTTCCTGGGTGGTGCGGTCGCGGTGGGTGCACGGACTCGTCCCCGTGGCTCCCCAAGGCCCCGGCATGGAGGTGGCTGGGGGGCTTCTTCGTGGCTGTCTCTCCTCCTCCCTTGGTGGGGGTCTGATTTCCGGGGCTGGCCCCTCCTTGGTGCCTTCGCTTCTGGGGTCTGGGGCTTTTGGTCTCCCGGCGCTGGACTCAGTGCTCTGGGGGGGGTGCCTCTCCGGCTCTCCACAACCACTATTGAGCATTTTTTCTATGGTTAAAACTTTACATGCACAAGTGCACCCTCACAAACAACTACAGGTGCTAGGCTTCAGGTACTTAGAGATTCACTTCCAAACAGAAACCCCACATTCATATCTTCAGGTAACACAGAGTACATGTCAGACTTAATAATATTACTATAGCGATAGTTTCAAGGTGTTGCTTTATCGTATATCTCGTACCATGTCTTTTGGTTGTGCTGTTCTTTTTTCATCTCGTTACAGGTGTTGAAGCAGACTGAAAATGTTTTGTCATTGTCTCCTTTCTATCTCCTCTTTCTTTCATCTTTTGTCCTTTTTTTTCTTTTTCTTTTTTCTTCTTCTGTTTTTCTGCTCTACTTACATTGCAGTGTCCATATGAACTGTAAAACTCCCTGCATAATTATAATAAAGCAATTTATATGCATGAAACAAGTGGAGCAGTATGGCAATTGCCATACTGCTCCACTTGTGAAAGTAAAATCTGTTGGGCTCCTTTTGGCATCAAGACAATTATTCGTATTGCCACCTTGCCAGACAGGACACTGTAGAAAAAAATAAAATAAAATAAATCAGAATTGAGCATAAAGACCTGCAGTGTGAACGTAGCCTACACGATAATTGTTTTAGAGTCAGTATAATAATTTCTGATCAAATTAGAACTAACCTTAAGAATCTAAACCAAAAATTATCCTTTTAATAGAGAAAAACTCAGCAGCAACTGCCTTTTCCTATGTCAACTACAGGACTGGAAAACAAAACGTTTTTTATCAGGCCTGTGGTTGTTTAAAAACAGGACGGGTCTCGTTTTGTTCATTTCCTGCTGTCACCATGTTCCATAACGTTATGGACGGACCTGGAGATGAAAACTGAAGCAAATCCAGAGAGAGAAAAGGGTCCAAACATGGTCTGACACAGTAGTAGTAAAATGTGAACAGGTTTTAGTCACAAACCAAATTCTCTATTTCCACAGCAGCCACTCAGAGAGATTAGCTTAATCTCTTCATGATTTTGTGGTATGTTGCTTTGTCCCTGTGCCATGAATGTCTGAGGTTCTGACTAAGACAGAGAAAAGATGATTAGTTGCTCTGACTTATGAAAATGTAAACAAAATAGCACCTTATAGAGGGAAAAGAATGAATAATATAATACAATAGGATAAAGTCTAAAGTTATGTTTTACTTTAATTTGAATTAGATTTCACTAAATGAAAAACTGAATTCAGTGGAAACTGAAATGAATTTCATTTTCCTTTCCTCCAAAAATATTAACACACGTGTATATCAATTAAACACTTATGAACAATGAAATCAGTGATTTTCATCCCTTAAGTGTTAAAAATAAATGTTACCCTACAGATTACCAAATATATGGGATATAGTTTGGAAAAATGCGACTAAAATACATAAAGGCTATGAGTTTATTAACTAAAATGGGAGATTTGCAAAAATAAACAATTTCTGAGGATTTGAATCAAAGTGGCATATTTTCCTGAGAGTGTGAAATAATAATAATAATAATAATAATAATTTCTGGCACATTTAAAACAAGTATGATTAAAAGAGAATGAAATCTAAAACCTGCTTAATGGATTTAAATCTAGGAAGCTAAAAAACAAAAAACATAAACCTAACTGTCAGAAATAGGACTGAAATAGCACCTGACATAAAGTTATAAATGGTTGATAATGCTTTCTACTGGGACTGGGACATAAAAGGAGTTTTCACCTGAGAACCCAAAAGACCCCCCCACAGGCTTTAGGTAGAGGGGGGGCTTCAAAGTTTAACTTTGAGGGACGGCAGCAGAAACCGCCATAAGATGTTCTGATTCTTAGGTCAGAGGTGACGAGGTCTTCAGAGAGATCTCCCTATTATCCCAGGTTGGCTTACAGCAGAATAGTAACTGGTTCACTGTTTATTGACTAGAGTTAAATTACCTGCAGATAAACAGACTGAAAAGCGGCCATTTTACCGCTGACCCAGTTACAGGAGGTTCGGTAAAGATGGGCAGGTTTATGGGCAGTTTGCATGTTTTATGGTTGCTGTGGCTCCTGCCGGGGTTCCCCTGGAGCCTCGGATCCCTGGGGCCCAGGGCCGGATACACTTCAGGGTGGCTGGCAGCCAGCATTGCGGTGGCTGGGGGACTTCCTCAGGGCCGTCTCTCCTCCTCCCTTGGTAGGGGTCAGAGTTCCTGGGCTGGCTCCTCCTTGGTGCCTTGGCTCTCGGGGTCCCTTGGGGCACCTGAGCTTTGGGGCTCCCGGCGCTGGACTATGGGGGTGCGCCTTTTCGGCTCTCCACAACCACTATTGAGCATTTTCTCCATGGATAAACTTTTCATGCACAAGTGCACTCTCACAAACAACTACAGGTGCTTGGTTCCAGGTAGGGTTGTCAAAAGTATCGATACTCAAAAAAGTATCGATACTGAAACGTTGTATCCGGATACAATACTCATTTTCAAAAGTATCGAGTACCAGTCGCACCTAAACAGTCATTCATCTAAAGTGCAGAATAGAGGAGAATGCACTTTCTGAAAACTGTGTGATTGAATAATTCTCTGTACTTTTCAGTTTCAGACTTTTTTTGTAACAGGTGCCGCTGCTGAGAATTATTTTTGTTTCTTAACTGGTTTGGCTAATGTCATTAGCTACGTTTACATGCGCAAAATTTCCCCGATCCGATCCAAACCTTGGTTGATCAGAAATTCAAAATCTCCGTTTACATGGACATTAAATGAAATGATCCGATCATGACGTGTGTGTATACATGTACCAAGTGTTGGATCAGATTAAATCTTTTAAGCATGCGCAGAACTTCCTGCCAAACTTGGGAGTTCTGTCTGCGTCTGGTTTTTGGGAGGCCTGACAAACGATGCGCTCGGAGCGAGCGGAAAGAAAAACGGAGAGAGGAGGAAAAAAGCGCTTGGCAGCGAAATGTCCGAGAGAAATTGTAGAAAATGAGCGATTGAACCGGCGTGGGAGAGCGAGTGGGCTGTGGAGAGAGAAAAGAGGAAGAGGAGGAGGATAAATTCCTGCTTCCTGCAGCTTTAAATGAACTTGAGTGTATAAGTCGGCGTTCCTAGACTCCCCCCGCCTTGTTGTTCACAGCGAGAGCGACCGGTGGTTTCCTGTTGTTGACAAGGCGGAAAAACGTCACGCTGACGTCGCACACATGCGCAGTGAAGATTATTTTACTCTTAAGATCCGAATGGGTGTTTACATGGACGCCAATCAGAATGGCGATCGGCAAAAACCACCTCTCTCTTTCGGAATTAAATTTATTTCCGATCGGACCGAATCGGATTAGAATCTTCAGTCTGACATGTTTACATGAAACATTTTTGATCTGATCAGGCCTTCAATCCAATTATTTGTGTCCATGTAAACGTAGCTACTGTTATGTGTGCAAAGCATAGCCAAGGAAGGAACACTTAATTTTAATTTTGTAAGTTTTTTATCAAGCTTGCTAAATACTGTGCACAGCAAACAACCTCAAAATGTTGTTCGTCTTGTTTATTGTATTTTAATTATTAATCAAAATATTTCTGTTGAAATGTTATCCTTGTGGTATCGAAAATGGTATCGAGTATCGAATATTTTCCTTAGTATCGGTATCGAGTTAAAAAAGTTTAGTATTGTGACAACCCTAGTTCCAGGTAATCAGAGATTTACTTTCATACAGAAAGCCCACACTCTTATCTTCAGGTTACACAGAGTACATGTCAGATTAAATAATACTACTTCAGCGACAGCATCTAGGTGTTACTTTATTGTATGTCTTGTACCATGTTTGTTGGCTGTGCTGTTCTTTTTACATCTCATTGCAGGTGATGAAGCAGACTGAAAATGTTTTATCATTATCTCCCTTTTATCTCCTCTTTCTTTCATCTTTTCTCCTTTTTTCCCTCTTCTGTTCTACCTTCATTGCAGTGTCCATATAATCTGTAAAACTACCTGCATAATTATAATAAAGCAATTTATATGCATAAATCAAGCGGAGCACTATGGCGATAGCCGAACTGCTCCACTTGTGAAAGTATAATCTGTTGGGCTCTTTTTGGCATCAATACAATTATTCTTATTGCCACATTGCCAGACAGGACACTGTAAAAATAAATAAATGTGTTATGACGGGTTCCCAAATGAAAATTTCAGCAACAGAAACAGGTGTTTGAAACTGATGGTGGTCAGAGGGCCCGGTGGTGCCAGCATATGGCAGCCTCACTTCTGTCAGTGGGCCCCTGGGCAGCTTTGGCTACAATATAGTTTGCCACCTTAAGTGTGTGTGAGAATGACTGAATGTAGGTCAAGTCCCCTGAGGTAAAAAAAAGTACAGGCCAGTTACCATTAACATCTCTAGTGTACCTTAAGCAGTACTGTGAAGGAATGACAGCTGAGAGAGAAAACACCAATAAAGATTGTTAATGACTTACATGAAACCATATACAGAAGCAATCTTTACAATCCATGTTTTTATTTCTGCTTGGTTCATCAATCTAGAAGTGAATACATTCATGGAAAACATCCAGTGCAGAAAACAATTCAATAAAATCTAGTTCTATAAAACAGACGATAGTTTCTCTAAATGACAGAAGGTTATTAAAACATCTACAGAATCAGAAACAAAACTATGGGAAAAAAAATAATAGAAAATGTAACCTGTAAAAGATCTTTAAAAAGCAGAAACATAAAAGAAAATATGATTTTAAAGTGAAAATCAACACAGATTGTAAATCTGACATTTAATGGAAAAAATTTCAAATTTCTGTAGAAGGTTTGACTTTCGTTCCAAATTATCCATTCTTGTGCAGAAACACATTCAATCTTGATCCATTGATATTTTTCAGCAATGCGCTCTTTTTGGTAGACAAGTTTTAGTTGCAATTTGTAACTTTTTACTTTTATCCCTATGGCCAAGAAATGGTGGAGCGAATAATGTTTTTGTTGACAGTTTTATTTAAAAGATGTAAAAAATAAAAAATAAAAAAATTGACAACAAAAAAATGCACTTCTACAGAAGTGAAAGACTTCTGTAATACATTATTAAGCCAAAGGCTTTTTACCAAGTTATAGCAGATTCAAATTCATCAGCAATATATCAGCAAAATATTAACTTATAATAAAATAAGCAATTTGAACCTTGTTTAGCTCTTTAAAAAAACATGTTTCGGTGTGTTACAGCTTTTTATCACGTGTAAAACATGGACAAGGTCTCTCCTGTTCATTCCACGGGCGTTTAACTGATATGACTTCTTATGTGAATCAATAAATCTTTCTTTTTAGATCAGATTCATGAATGGATTTCTCACGAGTTGATCTGTGAGATGTCAAACTATCTTTTTGATTAAACTTTTGCCACACCTAGTTCAAGAGAATGGTGTCTCACCTGTCTGATTTCTAATGTGAGAAATCAAGCTTTGTTTGCTGGTAAGACTTTTTCCATAAAGAGTACAGGAGAACGGCTTCCCACCTGTATGAATTCTAATGTGTTTATCAAGAGTGCTTTTTTGGGTAAAGCTTTTTCCATAGGATCCACATTTGTAAGGCTTCTCACCTCTGTGTATTCTCATGTGAGAAGCCAAGCTAAGCTTTAAAATGAAACTATTGCCACAAAGAGTACAAGACAACAGCTTGTCACCTGTGTGAGATCTGAAGTGTTTAAGCTTTATCCAGAGGACACATGTTTGAAAGGCTTCTCACCTGTGTGAATTCTCATGTGACAAATCATGCTTTGTTTGCTAGCAAGACCTTTGCCACAAAGAGTACAGGAAAATGGCTTCTCACCTGTGTGAATTCTCATGTGACAAATCAGGCTTTGTTTGCTACCAAGACCTTTGCCACAAATAGTACAGGAGAATGGCTTCTCACCTGTAGGAATTTTCATGTGACAAATCATGCTTTGTTTGCTAGCAAGACTTTTGCCAGTGAGAGGAAAGGAGAATGGCTTCTCACCTATGTGAATTCTGATGTGTTTATCAAGAGCACATTTATGAGTAAAGCTTTTTCCACAGGACACACATATAATACTTTTCTCACCTGTGCGAATTCTCATGTGATTATTAAGATGGTCTTTTCTGGTAAAGCTCTTTCCACATGAGACACATTTGAAAGGCTTATCACCTGTGTGAATTCTGATGTGTTTATCAAGACCACATTTATGGCTAAAGCTTTTTCCACAGGACACACATTTGAAAGGCTTCTCACCCTGGTGAATTCTCATGTGAGTAGTCAAGATACGTTTGTTAGAAAGACCTTTGCCACAGAGAGAACAGGAGAATGGCTTCTCACCTGTGTGAATTCTGATATGTTTATTAAGAGTACTTTTATCGGTAAAACTTTTTCCACAGGACACACATTTGAAAGGCTTCTCACCTGTGTGAATTCTAATGTGTAAATGAAGATAACCTTTTTGGCTAAAGCTTTTTCCACATGAGACACATTTGAAAGGCTTATCACCTGTGTGAATTCTGATGTGTTTATCAAGAGCACATTTTTGGATAAAGCATTTTCCACAAGACTCACATTTAAATGGCTTCTCACCTCTGTGAATTTTCATGTGAGAAGCCAGGTTATGTTTGTTAGCAAGACTTTTGCCACAAAGAGTACAGGAGAGCGTCTTCTCACATGTGTGAAATCTGATGTGTCTATCAAAAATACCTTTATGGCTAAAGCTTTTTCCACAGGACTCACATTTAAAACTCTTAGCTATGTGAGTTCTGATGTGTTTATTAAGATAACCTTTATCGGTGAAGCTTTTTCCACAGGACTCACATCTGAAAGGCTTTTCACCTGTGTGAATTCTGATGTGTGCATGAAGATACCATTTTTGGCCAAAGCTTTTTCCACAGAACACACATTTAAAAGGCTTTTCCCCTCTGTGAATTCTCAAGTGAGATGTCAAGCTATTTTTTCTAATAAAACTTTTGCCACAAAGAGTACAGGAGAACGACTTCTCACCTGTGTGAATTCTGATGTGATTATTAAGATTTTCTTTTGTTGTAAAGCTTTTTCCACAGGACAAACATTCAAAAGGTTTCTCACCTGTGTGAATTCTGATGTGTTTATCAAGATGGTCTTTTCTGGTAAAGCTTTTTCCACAGGACAAACATTCAAAAGGTTTCTCCCCTGTGTGAGTTCTGATGTGTTTATCAAGATATTGTTTTCTGGTAAACCTTTTTCCACAAGACCAACATTTGTAAATCTCCCGACCTGTGTGAGTTCTCATGTGAACCATTAAATATTGTTTCTTCAGAAACCTTTTTCCACATCTCAAACATGGGAAAGGGTTCCTTTCTGTATCTCCAGTCTCAACAAGCTGCTCTTCGTGCTCACTTATGTGGAGCTCCATGGTTTCCACTTTTATCCAGGGATGTTCTGGCTTTTGCTGCTCTTCTTTTATCTGCAGAAGTTCTGGTTCTGCTTGGTCCAAACTGGAATTCCTCTCCTGTTCAGAGAACTGCTGCTCAGGGAAAACCTCTTGTTTTCCAACATAATCCTGTAGGCGGTCTGGAAAAATAAACACAGGAGAAAGACTTTGAATTAAAGGTTAAAGAAAGGACACTTCACTTTAACCATCCATGTATTGATCAAGCTGCATATAACCAGAATAGAACTACATTTCCCAGCATTCACTGCAGCTCTGACATCACATCACAGGTTATAAAGGACCATGCAATGCTGCGCTGTCGTCTAGAAAGGCTTGGACCTCCACTTTGGCATCAAAGCTTGTTTAAACTACTCTACAGATTATATTTTTTTGTTGAATGGTTCAGGGTGTAGCCTACCTTCCTCCCATAGACTGCTGGAGGTAGAAACCATCCCCACTGAGAGCCTGATGTATAAGCCAAAGAAGATGGATGGAATTATCAAGTGGGAATAAGTGGGAATGCTTATGCATTCCCACTTATTGTTTTTCTCTTTTTATTTTTCTGACTCTAACTAGTCCCGCAGTTTTCAACCAATTACAATATTCAAAGCGTTCAGCTTGTTCACGAGAATCGTGCTATGTCTTTTTGTAAATATATTTTTTGTAGTTTTCGCTATTTTCATCTTTATCTGCGTTTTTTGTTCCCATTGAAATGCATGTAATGAATTCTTGAATTCTTAGACTTCAGCAAAATTCAGCTAAAACTTCATCATCTTTGACCTTTAACTACTTCAGCATACTTTCAGCTAGAAACACCATTCAACTTTTAAAATGTTTCCGCATCTTTGTGCTATTACTGTGTAACTCAGCTTTTTGCCAACTTTTACAGTTTCGCTTCAGCGAAGCTCCAAACTTTAAAAGAAAATTTTAAGATTTTCAGATTTATAATGGAAGTCTATGGACGGAATTCTTCTACTGCTAGAGTGCGTGCTCTAGTTTTTAAACTGTTCTGGTTTTTCTGAACAAATTGTTCTCACTACCTTATTTTTTACTCAATTATAATGAATTATACATCAAAACGTAGGGATTTCTGTCAGGATTCAGGAAATCTAATCCTCATTTGTGTGGGATTTACGGTTTTCCTGCAGTTTGGACCAGACCACGAAGAAGTCCACACTTCCCCAATAGAAATCCAATGAGAGAGTTTCCAAAAATCACATCTGAAAATCCAAAATGACACATGTTTTCGTATCGCTCCCATTTCTAAACTGTTTTATGTACAAACATGAAACTTGGTATAAAACATCTTCAGATCCTTCTAGCACTCACATTGACGGAATTTTTTCAATATCATTTATGGTTTAGCTGTTTAGCTGACTTGTTCGGGCATAGGAAAACGATTCTGAGAAAAATCCTCATACTCAGAAAAAACACATTTTTACATAGTCACAGTGGCCAAATAGTTTTTAGTAGAAATATGAAAGTTGGGAGAGTCGAAGCCGAAGGATGTCTGACGCCAACAGTGAAAGAATTTTTTTAATACCTTTTACAGTTTTGGCTCACCACTCATTTGTTTGGAGGGATTTTTCAGCAGCTGAAAGCTCCGTGAATCTGAGGTGCTTCATGTAATCCAATGAGACAAGCCGGTGTGACAAACCATTATGTTTGTCTTCCCATTAGGGTTGTGAAACAGCTACAGACATGAAAGTTACCCCAATCGGAGACAAGGGATAGCTTACACTTATACTAAAATAATTTTTTAGATACCATTTACGGTTTCTCTTCAGCATTTGTTTTTTCTCGGCTGTTTTTCCCATTCAAAAAGGCCTGAGAGCAAAGGAACGATAATGCTGCGCTTCTCTCTCTGTCACTGACAGGCTCGTTAAGCGTTGTCAAGGAAACTGAGCTTCAAAGGGATTGTACCTCTGCCACTTTATACAGCACTTTTTAATCTAATGGAGGGAGACAACACTGATTTAACATTTGGAAATGGATACTATATGTCTACTGGCCATGACCCTTCCCTTCACACGCAACCCTGATAGACTTTCAAAATAAGACTCCGGGGACCCTACAAAATAAAAGCCTCTACATTAAACTCATATTTATTTTCCAGCATATGGCTCAACATTATGACCCAAACTCAACCACTTTTTTTAAAATTAGACTCTAGGGGGCTTTTCAAAACACACCCCACAGCAAATTTCAAAATAAAAGCCTCCCATTGCCACTTCATCTACTGCCCTAATAACAGGGGAAAAGAGTGATTTAATGATTGGAAAGTCATCAAGTATCATTGCTGGGTCTGACCCTTTTCTCAACACACAACCCTGCTAGACTTTCAAAATAAGACTCCAGTGGCCCTACAAAATAAAAGCCTCTATATTATACTCGTGTATTAATTGATGCAAATGGCTCAGCATTATGACCCAAACTCCACCAGCTTGTTTTTTTAGACTCTAGGGACCTTTTAAAAAACACAACCAAGAGCAAATTTCACAATAAAAGTCTCCCATTTAGACTCTAATACAGCATCTATTCACCCATTAACATGGGAAACCAGTTATTTTAAATTTTGAAATGGATTATATATCACTGCTGAGCATGTCCCTTTCCTTGACACACATCCATGGTAGACTTTCAAAATAAGACTATAGGGACTCTACAAAATAAAAGCCTCCTCCTTATGCACACTCATTCATTGTGCCATATGGTCCATATCTATGACCCAAACTCAACCAAATTCTTTAAATTACACTACCAAAGCCTGTTGACAGCACACCTTAGTCCACATTTCTTAATGAAGCTCTAACATTTCCACTGTAATAACCTAACCTCGTAAGCAGATGCTTACTTCTGTCTACTTCCTGGTTAACAGATACTTTTGGACTTTTTCTTCTGGTTAATAAACTTTTTACTAAAGGTTTTGCTTTTAAAATGAGTGTTTTTCTGCCATTATTCTGCAAAATGATTCTACCCTACAAAATCTTAAGATGATTCTACTGTTTTCTGCTGTTTGAAGTTTCTGATTAGTTCCTATCACATTTTCATATGTTCTTCAGCTAATTTCTGCGTCCTTTCCCTGCAGTTTCTTTAGCTATTTTTTCTTTTTTCATTCAGCATAAAAAAGCATTCCCACTTTGCTGTTTCTCCGAAACAGCTTTTTTCTAGTTTTGATTGAAATCTTCTATTTTTTTAATTTTCACTCAAATATTTGTAGTTTTTATTTTTTTTTTCCTTCAGTTTTTTTTTAAGTAAAATAAAATGATTTTGAACAAACATAATTTACCCCATGTAGCTCCATAAACATTCCTCTAGCTTTGGGGGAAGGTGTGGAGGTGTACAAGTCTACAGACCAGGTGGACAAACATGTGAGGGAACGATACCTATGAAGCCTCATTAAGATCAGCCCATTAACTCAAGGATACTTAACTGAAGTCTCTTTCTCATCATTTATTTCTTTTTGAAGAAAACATTGGGCGTCTCTCCTTATGTTTACATTTCTTTAATGGTACACTTGCGTACTTTTGAAGTTAAGTACTGTTACAGTCATAAGTATGTAATAAAAGAAGGCTCAGAGTAAACAAAGTTATTAAATATAAGAGGTAAACTTAAAAATTTATTTCAAGATGTTTTCGGGGGAGAAAGTAGACCTACAAATTTCACCAATCAGTCAATGAAGAATGAGCCAACTTTAAAATTACTTTTGGAGGTTTCAAAGCAGCGTAGCCCCACCCACAGGCCATGGTGGCTACATGTTACCCCCAGATTCCACATACTCCGCTAGCGCTCTGCTCCGCTCAGCCCCGCTGACGTATGTCGCGCGGAGCGCTTGTCTTTCATGGAAATCAATGAGAGCTGTTCCACATCCACCACTACTCCTCCGCATGTCTCCGTCCACGCACATCTTCTCCGTCCGTCACAGACAAATTACGGAGCCGAGCTATTTTTTGCTCCGCTCCGGTCCCGCCAAGTCAAGATCCGCAATTGCAATCGCACCAAACAGAAAAAAGAACATTGACAAATTCCGGTTCGTCAAATTAAAATATAGCAGCAACAGATCAGTGACTAGAAATTATAGCACAATTCTTATATATATATATAAAAAAAAAAAAACTAACACCGTTTATTTAAAAGATTAGATCCAAACTATTGGTTATCCACCAACGAGGAAGCAGATTTCTCATCTCCATCAAAATATTTATTTTATACAGAGGGACTTAAAGTTTAATCAAATCCATTCAAAAGAAACTTCTAATTACAGGAATGAAAAGAGATGGTAAGTTTGGGAGTAGAGAACAAGTTCATTAAAAAAAAGCAGTTTTGAATGATCCTTATCCCCGTTACAAAAATCTACAAAAATATATATATATTTGGGCAGAAACTGAACATATGCTGGATGACGGTAGGATTTTTTTAATATGTCATATTAAATTAAGCGTTCACAGGGTTCATGCAGGAATGAGTGACTCTAATTTAATGCTATTTTAATGCTATTAGAAGTTATTTTAATGCCATCAACAAGAACCACGTACACAAGTTATTAGTGTACATGAAATATTAAGGAGCTGTAAGCACAGTTCCATGACTCCTGTATGTATGTAAACACACACACACACACATATATACGTATACCGTATTTTCACGACCATAAGGCGCACCGTACTAAAAGGCGCAGTCTCAGTTATGTGTCCCATTTCTGTATTTAACACACACATAAGGCGCACCGGACTATAGGGCGCGTTTTTTATATACAGGTACATGTCCTCTACTACCTTTAAATACCTCTACTGCGTATTTAAAAATACAGCGGGGGCAAAACTGAGTATGACTGTGCTTTATTCATGTATTTATTACAAAGTATTAATCAAACCTGGGTGCTGGCCGTGAGACAGACACATCGCAGATGACAGAGCGCTGTGATCACTCCTAAATTAACTTAAAATCCTGAAACCTGCCGACAGAATATGTTCGCTTTTATTACCGGTATCCTGGTGCCTGCAGTTTAAATTATTTAGATGAAAAACACCTGCCAGCCGCCGCGGTGAACCTGGAGGCTACCCGGCCTAGAGGCTGCTGTTGAAGGGATTTCTGCTATCGGTGCACCGCTGGTATGTGGGGGTCTGAGCGCCTCCGACAGAAATAGATAATCTGGATGAACTGACTGCAATTATTAAGTTTTCAGGTGGACTTTCTCACTTAAAAACATATTAAAACTACTTTATTCCCACTGATCACAGCAAATATAGCTGCAAGATTTAGATTTTTTAGATGAAAAAACACCTGCCAGCCGCCGCGGTGAAACCGGAGGAGACGCGGCCCAGAGGCTGCTGTTGAATTAAGTTTTCAGGTAGAAAAATAGAGCGGGAGCAAAACTGAGTATGATTGTGCTTTATTCATGTATTTATTACAAAGTATTAATCAAACCCATCAAAGTCATCATCCTCTGTTTCTGAATTAAACAGCTGCGCTAAATCAGACATGCCAATTTCCCCTTCTTCGCTGTTAGAGTCACTTTCCGTGCAGCGCGGCTCCTCAGAAATAATGCCGGCTTTTGCGAAAGCTTGAACAACAGAGCCAGCAGACACGTTAGTCCAAGCATCAACAATCCATCCGCAAACGGTGGCGTAACTTGCCCGGCGCTGCCTTCCACTTATTCTGAAACTGTGGTCTCCGTCTGTCATCCATCGCTCCCACGCCGCTCGCAGCCTTACTTTGAACGGCCGGTTCACACCGAGGTCGAGCGGTTGAAGTTCCTTTGTCAGACCTCCCGGGATAACGGCGAGCACAGCGTTTATTTGTTTCACCATGTCTTTCACATCGGCTGTAAGATGGGCACGCATGGAGTCACAGATTAACAGAGATGGTGATGCGTGGAAAAAAACACCTGGTCTCCTCACATACACCTGCCTCAGCCACTCTTTCATCATCTCCTCATCCATCCAGCCCTTTTTATTTGCCTTAATATCATATATCATCAGAGCGCTGTGTCTGTCTCGCTGTCAGCTCCCAGATCAGCTTCTCTGATTGGTTGATGCGGCGCTTCCAGCAGCAGCGCCTGCTGCTCAAAATGCACTGCAGGACCTTTTGCTGCGCCTATACGCGCGTCAACCATTGACTTTGCATGTAAACACGCTGCTTCTGCTGCGTCCGGTTCACACCGATGTCAAGCGGTTGCATAACAGCGAGCACAGCATTAATTTGTTTCACCATGTTTTTCTCATCAGCTGTGATATGGGCACGCATGGAGTCACAGATTAAAGCTGCAGTCTGTAACATTGAGAAGAGAGCAGACTTCGACTGAAAATTTGAAGAAAAACAGGTTTCACTCCACTCCCCCACCCTCTCTGCTTCACTCATGCCCCACCTCCAAGCTCCACCCCTCTCACAGCACCTGCGCGGCTACCGCATGCGACCAGAAGGGGGGGGGGGCGGGATTCAGCGTGTGTGAGCTGTGATTGACACTCCATCAGACGCTCCTCTGGCTGTGATTGGTTGTTTTGACTCGTCCCGAATTATTCTTTCCAGAGTGAAATACAGGCAGTAGGCGGTACCAATTGAAGCAGTTTTTTTCACAGGTTACATATCACATGTACTGCTGTCTGAGCATAGGGACAGTTTTAGCCAATATGACAAAAAAGGGATTTTTAAAAACTTACAGACTTCAGCTTTAACAGCGATGGTGATGAGACAAAAAACACCTGGTCTCCTTACATTCAGCCACTCTATCATCATCTCCTCAATGAGGTGGTCTCAAAAGTCCGCAGTTACAACACACATAGGGCGCACCGCACCAAAGGGCGCACAGCACATTTTGAGGGAAAAAAAGACGTTTAAGTGCGCCTTATAGTCGTGAAAATACGGTAATGCTTTTTAATGCTATTTAAGACCTTGATTTTCAGAAAATCTATTCAATTACTTATAATGACTTTTAATGACCCGCAGAAACCCTGTGTATGATCTAGATAAGGTTATCTATGTGTGCTACAGGGTTGGTGGCCCTATGGCGATCTATAGTGCATTTATTGGAGATTGTATGGTTAAAATAACAAACGAGAACATCTAAAAAAATAGAGTTAAGTATATTTTCCTAAAGTAAGTCGTGTAGTGTGATCAGGTGAGGTAATATATGTATACTACAAGTGTGGTGGCACTACAATAATCTATAGTGTAGTTATCGCTAATTTTATACTTATTCTAATAATACAAAATGTTAAAGTGTAGGTATTATCTAAATGATAAAACCTGATTATAAAGAATGCCTTTTATCGAAAGCTATACAGTAACCAGTTATTTTTGATGGATTTATTTTCTATCCTACAGACTTTAATATTTTTGCCATTTAGGCTTTGGGGAATTCCTAAAAAAAACCTAGGACGCGTCCTTAGAAGAATAGATTCGAAGGACGATTACTTCATAGCGTGGCGCCGAGGTCTGGTTGGATTCCAAGAGTCCTCATTATGTGGCCTTAAAATGCGTCCTTTTTTTTGCCCGATTTGAAGGACGGGGTCCGATGTATCCTCTCTATCCTTGGTTTACCCAGGATTCATTGCGAGACCAAGAAAGCCCGCTGCTCCGTGATCAGAGGAAAGGTTACTTGGCGCCGAACAGTGGTGAAATTGGAAGTTCAGTTTAGTATAATCCAGTCTGTTAATATTTCCTTCTGAAATGAATGAAAATATTTGTTTTAATGGTTATTGAGTCAGATATTTGGCGGTAATGTTTGGTTTATCTAAAGGTTTTTATCTGTTACTGTGTAAATGGGTTTGGCTGTAATTTAAGGACAGATTCTAATATATCTGCAGTGTGGGGACTATAAATCTGATAGGAGTTAAATTTTTTTATTGCTGTTTTGCACAATATGCTTAACTAAGTATTTTTTGTTGTTGAATATTAGAGATTTTGCAGATATATTTTTTATACATACATTGTTTAAAATTACTCATATCTTTCTACCCTTATATAGAATAGAAAATCTCTTTATTGTCCCACAATGGGCAAATTTACAGCAGCAGAAAGCTGATTGAAAATGGTCACACAAATGTGGAAGCGTTGTGCGCGTCAGATGCTCAAACGCTCAAGACTCACAGCTTCAGCTGCTTTGACACTGCTGCACAAAACGCGCTGCGGGACCTTTTGATGCGCGTCAACCATTGACTTTGCATGTAAATCAGCTGCTTCTGCTGCCTCTGCTGCTTTTGGTGTGAACGTAGCAGGTTGGGATTATTTGGAGACGGGCTGGAGGGTGGGACCTAAAAGCTGGTTTCCATGGTTACCAGGATTTTTTCTAATTAATCTTACAGTTCCATGGAGTTTATGTTTTTTTCTTTTTTTTCTTAAAGGAATAGTACACCCAAAACATGATTAGCCTTCATTTTCTACTAACCCTAACACTGAAGTCCTCAGACATTTTTCTTTCGTTGTTTCTTTCTTTGCACAGGTAAACAGCACATTTCTTCTTCTACGCTTGCATTATTGGCAGAGCAGATGCTGAATGCGCACTTTCATCTGGTTTGGTCTGCCGCAGTTTCCGTAGACTCGTGAACGCTCTTTTAGGAAATCCTATACACTACTGTTTATGCTCTAAAAACATTCTAAATGACTTTGTTTCGAGTAAATTATGGACGCTACCCACTCAGGACACCTGGAATACATTGGACGAGCAGTATGGAGGAATATTGACACGTTTTTGTGGACTTTTATGGACCTTTCTGCCTCGGGCGCCATAGACCTCCATTATTTGAATGTCAGCAGACAGCAAGAAGCCTCCCAGATCTCCAGATGCATTTGAGATATCAAAAAAGTACTCCAGAGTGTTGTTCAGCATGGGGGTGAGTAGAAAATGAAGGCTAATCATGTTTTGGGTGTACTATTCCTTTAACAGTGACAGCACATGATTAATTGATTACTGGCTGCCATTTGTGTTCATACACCTCATTCATGGTCCAATTTAAATACTTTTCAAGCTTAGCAAGCTTAGCTTGGATTATCTAATCCAGGTCTGAAGTGTCTGAGTGCTGAAGTTTTTAGAGCAGAATAAAGACAGTTAAAGTGGAGAGAAAAGAGGTGGAACAGCCCTTTAGCTGAAGCAGAAGCTAGCTTTAGCTTAGCATGTTGATCTCCTCTAATGAGTTTTCCAATCAGCTGAGGCTCCAACCCTCAGTCTGCATCCTGAGGGAATCGTTTCTATCAGGTGTTTCCTACCTATCCGGTGTAAGATGATCTGGGGGATCCTGGTGAAATCCAGCAGTCTGTGCTGATCGTCCATCTCCACTTTGGGCCTTTTCTCTCTTCCTTTAACCTCCGTCAATGTTTCTTCAGCAGGAGTTAACTGCTCGCTGATAAACTCTCCTTGAAGCTGGACTGAACACATTCTCCCTGCAAACACTCACACATCATCAGCCTCTCTACAAACACTCCACGGAGGAAGGAAGCTAACGCTGCTGCTGCTGCTGCTGCGGGACCCACAGGCTTCTTCTTCTGTTCTATTATGGCGGATCGCAAGGAACTTTAATGTGTATACCGCCACCTACTGAGTGTGTAGAAACATAACTTTTTATCAAATTCTATTTTTTAATTTTGCCTTCTGTAGATAAATAAATAATGCTTTCTTTAATCTGTGAATATCATTTATATTTCCTTCCTTTCCCAACATTCCTTTCAGACTCCATTCTTTTCCTGTTCTTCCAATTATTCTTCTCAGTTTCTCCCTTTCATGTTTATAAGTTTTAAAGTTCATCAGCACATGTTCTACATTTTTTTTTTCCACTTTCTTCACATTTATAATTATTTTTCCTCCCTACTAAATATAAATTGTCATTTAAATGTCTGAGCCACTCTTAATATGATCATTATTACTTCTTTCCTTCTGTTTCTGTTTTTTATTATTCTATTTAATACTAATTTTTGAACCTTATATAATCCTCTTCCTTTCTTCTCTTCATTCCACCTCTTTTGCCATTTTCCCATTTCTTTAATCTTAAGTGATTTACGTTCATGTTATTGAACTCCTACACATTACTAAATGTTACTAAACTATAAACATTATAAACACAGGTGTTAGCTAAATAAGATTTACAACAAAAATAAAAAATTCAGAATAAAATACACAAACATACTGTGTACGCCTTCTGACCAAACAATAGATGAGTTTTATGCATTTCTTTGTGTATGGAGAGAGCAGTTTTTTGTGGAGGCGTTCCAGTTGCCAACTTTGGCTTTCATGAGGCGAAGCTCAGGAGTAAACCAAGGGGCAGAGCAGGAAAAGGACACAGACCGGGTTTTGAGAGGGGCAAAGGAATTGAGAATATTGGAAAGTCCAGAGTTTTAGTGGGTGACAAGGTGGTCTGGAGAGGAAAGAGCAGGGATTGGGACATTGTCAATGTGGGAGGATCAAATGTCTGTGTTTATGTTCTTAATATTGCAGAAGGAAATCTAGCGGACAGGCTTGATTATGGAGAGAGACAGGGAAACGTTGAAGGACAGAAGAAAGTGATCTGAAATATGGACATCATCAGCAGAACAGTTAGAGGGAATTAAACCAGAGCAGCAGATCAAATCCAGCAAATGTCCTTTTATGTGGGTGGGGAAATCAACATACTGAAGAAATCCAGAACTGTCCAGGCAGGAGGTAAATATATATCTCTGGTGATATTGAATATTGAAATCACCTAGGACAATGACATTAGGAGAGAGAGTAGTCAGGTGGGTAAGTAGTATGGATAATTCATTTAAAAAGTCACTGTGGGGTTTGGAGGGACGATAGACTATGGAAATAAATATTGGAGTAGGACCAGGCAGTTCAAATGCAAAGCATTCCATAGAGCGGAAAACTGGAGTGGAAACTAGCAACAACTTCCACTTCTCGCAATGAAGTAACGCAAGACCTCCCACACGGCCGGAGCCATGAGGAAGAGAGTGGTAAACAAACCCAGGTGGAGGGGAGGCGTTGAGCTGGGAGAAGTCATTAGGTTGTTGCCAGGTCTCTGTGAGGCAGAGGAAGTCCAGCTTACGGTCATTGAGGGGATCCTGAATGAGCTGACCCTTGTTTATGAGAGAGCGGATATTCAGGAGACCAAAGTTGACGGTACAGTTGATATGACCGGAGAGCGGCGAGAAGTTGACCAAATGATGGTATTGGATTGGAGTCATCGATGTTGAAATTCCGACGAGATCCACGGTGGATGTATCTCTGGCGGGAAAGGAGCACGATCTCCGGGTAGGGATGGGAATCGAAAACCGGTTCCTGTTCAGAACCGGTTCCGTATTTTCCGATTCCATGGCATCGTTTAGCAGCTCACTGAACGATTCTTTTTTCGATTCCCGCAGCACCAGAGCCTAGAGCGCCGGCTCTGGGGAGCACGACTTACGTCACGTTTTTTACGTAAGTTACGTAAGTTACGCAAGTTACGCAATTTACGCAAGTTGGAAGAACTATTCGAGGAGGAAGACAACGAGCTGCGGTCACTTTGTGAATCAAAGCCCCGTCTTTCCTTAGCCCAGAGGGTAGATCAGGAAATCCAGCTCTATAAAAGCTTGCCCTCCATCCCCTGCAGGGATAGCGCCACACTGTGGTGGTGGAACAAGCAAGATACGCTGCCCTTGCTATCTGGACTGGCTGAAAACTACCTCTGTGTGCAGGCTTCCTCCACCCCATCTGAGAGGGTGTTCTCCACGGCTGGAGACACCATAAGCCCTGAAAGATCCCGTATCCTTCCAGAAAAGCAGATATGCTCATCTTTCTGCAAAGAACTGTTAATTTTCCCTACTACTGTTTTATAATTAGTATTTTTTGTTATTTAAAATAGGTTATTATCCCATCATTTGTTATTAGACATTGTTGGTTATTAAGTTTGTTCTTGTATTCATTTTTCATTTAAAAGCAGATGTTACTCCAGTTTCACATTTCCTGTGGACATCTTGATCTTGTTGATTTTGTAAGATTGTGCAATAGTTAAGTAAACAAAGTTGATGCTGATAATCAAACTGTTTGTTCTCCTTTTTTCCCCAAATTGGAATCGAAAAAAGAATCGATAAAGAATCAAATCGTTTCATAGAATCGAAAAGGGAATCGGAATCGTGAAAATCTTTTCAATTCCCAACCCTATCTCCGGGTGTTTCTGGAAAACTGGTGGTGGAGGCACGGAGCAGGAGGAGATCGGCTGCCGAATACTGGGACGAACCTGCCCCAGGTCGATGTAGAGTGGAGAGGACAGTCCAGAGGAGGATACACCAGATGCAAAACTTGGAGGTTGACATTGTTAACGGCAGCGGGTGGCTAACCAACAGCAACAATGGTGGAGAGTGAGGTTAGTTAACCACACTCAGACACAAAACAATGGGATGGCGGCCGAAGTTAGGATGATAGAAGCGATGGCAAGTGCTTTTGCTCTCACTTGAATGTGAGTACACGGCCCAAAGTTCCATAAAAACTTTGAAAATAACCTAAAAACAGGTAGCGGAGAGCAGCGGCTGCAAAAAGTGCCAGCATCCACTCAGCTGCGCATGCACACTAAGGTCACGGTGAAGGAAGAAGAACAGAATATGTTAATGACATGTCAGGGCTCGAAAGTAGTTAGAAGTTGTTGTTGTCGGGTTGTAAATGCATTTTTATGTTACATATTGTTTTGTTTTTTTCAAGCGTTTTATTGTCATTACACTGTCAGAAGTACAGAGCAACAAAATGAACTATCTATATTTAACCCATCCCCTTGGGGGGCAGTGGGCTGCCATTGTGTGGCACCCGGGGAGCAGTTTGGGGGTTAAACTGGAATTCTCTCCTGTTCAGAGAACTATTGCTCCGAGAAAACCTCTTCTTTTCCAACATAATCCTGCAGGATAGAATGGAACTACATTTCCCAGCATTCACTGCAGCTCTGACGTCACATCCCAGGTTATATAGGACCAGTCACCTTTCCCTCATAGACTGCTGTAGATAGGCACCATTCAGTGACCCTGTTGGATAGGCCGAAGAAGATGTGTGGGGGCTAAGCCAACGCTTAAAGCCACTGGAATGTTTTTAAACCGGAATCTTTATGGTTGACGCGCTTGCCGGGGTTAGATGGTGTGAACAGGAAATGTCCAGACGCTGTTCTTGCTGTTTAAAAAGCTGATTTATTCCCACTCTTGCTGCTTACAAAACAAAAAAATGATACAACAGCCAGCTGTGAGTTGACAGCGTTTCCCCGCCATGCGGTCAAACCGATTTGCCCTTTCCGGTGAAACACACGCCCATACACACATCATTTCCCCTATTTTATAGAGCTTATACATAATGGCTTCTACATACCGGCCCCTAATTGTTAGACATAACAATTCCACAGTACATATTTACAAGCCAAGAATATTTAAATCAAGACCATAAGTTACATTTCATGCAAAAGACACAATTTGGTGATAGGCCGCTCAAAAAGACCACTCTTTGTTTGCAACTTTACAGTGCGAACAAAACCCCTTTTGTCAGGCAAAACCTCTAATACTCTTCCCAAACACCAAGAACCTCGTGGTGCTAAAGAGTCAATGATTATAACAATGTCTCCAATAACCAAGTTTCTTTTAGTTTGGTTCGATTTTTGCCTTTCCTGGAGCAATGATAAGTATTCCCTGGCCCATCGTCTCCAGAACAGATCAGAGATGTATTGAATCTGCTTCCAACGTCGTTTTGCATACAAATCCGCTGTATCAAAAAGTCCAGGTGGTAGTGCTGGTTTGCCTTTCAGTAACAGCAAATGATTAGGTGTAAGTGGTTCAAAATCCTTTGGGTCTTCTGAGAGCTTTGTGATTGGACGATCATTAAGAATGGCTTCAATTTCACACATAACTGTGTTAAGACCATCCATATTCAATGATTGCTTTTGTAAAACTGAGCTTAGAATGTGTTTTATCATGCGTATGATACGCTCCGAGATGCCACCATGATGGGGTCCTGCAGGTGGGTTAAAACTCCATTCTACTCCAGATGAAATGAGTGTCTTTTGAATCTTCTCGTGATTTAATGCATCCAAAGCTTCTTTCAGTTCTCTTGCTGCACCGACAAAGTTTGTTCCATTGTCTGATCTTATGTGAACAACTTGACCTCTTCTACTGATGAAGCGACATAGAGCATTTATACAGTCATCAGTACTTAGAGAATTTGGAACTTCCAAATGTACAGCTCTACTTGTTAAACAGGTAAAAATGACACCATAGCATTTTTTCTGTTGTTCTTCCTCTTTTCACCTCAATGGGTCCAAAATAATCAACTCCAACATTGGTAAATGCAGGTAAATCAGGAGTAATTCTGTGCTTTGGAAGGTCTGCCATCTTTTGGTTTACTGGTCTTGCATTGTGACGTCTGCAAAATTTGCATTCAGAAATCCTGTTTCTTACTGCAGAGTGTCCATATAGAATCCAATATTTCCTCCTAACAACAGCCAGAGTATGATTGCGTCCACTGTGACCTAGTGTTTCACGAGTATGTCTGAGGATGAGCTTGGTTATGTGCTGATTT